TTGACTTATGTAGGCCCTTGTTGGAAGGAATGATGCTGTCTGGACTATAGATCATGTTGTTGCATTGCAGAAGATTTGTCCCATAGTCAGCAGTGATGTTACTGCGGAGGCATCGGCAGCCGAGTTTGAAGGTTATGGAGCATCAAAACTTACTGTAGATTCTGCTGTGAAGTATCTACAACTCGCAAATAAACTTTTTTCTGAGGCAGAGCTTTACCATTTCTGTGCCAGCATCTTGGAACTGATAATTCCAGTGTACAAAAGTAGAAGACTGTATGGACAGATAGCAAAATGTCTCACATCACTCACCAACATTTATGAATCTATTGTTGAGCAAGAATCAAGTCCGATTCCTTTTATTGACGGTACGTACTATCGAGTTGGATTCTATGGTGAACGGTTTGGGAAACTTGACAGGAAGGAATATGTATATAGGGAACCTCGCGATGTTCGCTTGGGTGACATAATGGAGAAGCTCAGTCACATATATGAGTCTAGAATGAATGAAAGTCATACTTTACATATCATACCTGATTCTAGGCAGGTCAATGCAGAGGAGTTGCAGCCTGGTGTGTGCTACCTTCAGATAACTGCTGTAGATCCTGTCATGGAAGATGAGGATTTGGGAAGTAGGAGAGAAAGGATCTTCTCCTTATCAACCGGAGGAGTTCAAGGGCGCGTATTCAACCGCTTCTTATTTGACACACCTTTCACGAAAAATGGAAAGAGTCAAGGAGGACTTGAAGACCAGTGGAAACGGCGTACCGTTCTCCAAACGGTGGGATCTTTTCCTGCTTTGGTGCGTCGGCTCGTTGTTATCAAGTCAGAATCTTTGGAGTTCTCTCCGGTTGAAAATGCAATCGGAATGATTGAAACTAGGACGGCTGCTTTAAGGAATGAGCTCGAGGAACCCCGAAGCTCAGAAGGTGATCAACTACCCAGGCTACAGAGTCTACAGAGGATCCTACAAGGCAGCGTAGCCGTTCAGGTAATCTTCGCTATCTGCAATTTTA